ATCTTAAATAATATTTTGTGCGATGGAGAACGAAATCACTTTGGCAAGATAAGTTAATGAAATCCAGATCCTGGTTGGCATATTTGATGGGCGAACTTCTTGTGAAGGATAGTACAAATTGAAGTTTCTGTTGATGGAATTGAAGAACTCCTACATTCTAATTTCAGATTTGGCGACGCTACCAAAATCAACAATTATTTGGCGAAAGAGATCTGGAAAGGTTGAAAAGAAATTATTTCATCGAAGAAATGAATTCAATTCCGGTGATATTCATTTATCTTCTAAAATTCCACTTAGATAAGTCGATATAATGATCTTCTCACATGCAATTTAGATGTTTTGTGAAAATATATGCATGTTATCAATGAAGATATCCCTAATGAATTTTTCATGATCATCTAGAATTTCCTATTAGATAAAGGATGCAAAATATTGTGTCAATTATGAATTGCATAGTTATATAAATTTCTTGTCTGATATATTTGATGAATTACAGCATGTATGATTCTTAGAATATGCTTTATTTATGGAATTTGGTCTTATATGCAATTTATGGAGATAATAGAGGCTAATGAAAAATTATTATGTGTTGGTTGGGTATCAACATAACATTGAAAGATTTATGTGATCTATGATCTACTTCGCTAAATTTACTGCATGTTGAGTATGAAAGACATGCTAAAAAAAATTGTATGAGATATTTGAATATGATAATATTTCATCATTTTATATGATATTCACTAATTGGTGTATATAAGTGTTTATTCTATTTTGAGTAAAGTGCATGTGAGGAAGTTGTATGTTCCTTTGGTTGGAGAATATTTGGAAATATATTACTCGCTTGTGCTCACTTGAGAGTGCATATTTTGACGTCCTTCCATATGGTTAAATGTGCAAAATTTTGATGGCAAATTATTTCAAAGTGAATTATTATGTGGCTGTAATTGTTAATCAAATTGAATGGAAGTTGGTTTATTTTTGAACAAGTGCATATGGCAGTTTTATTAAATAATGACTTTTCATTTTAAATGCAAATGGATCTATTTGACATGGTGACTATTCGCAGGTGCTTACAATACATTATTTCAGAATTTTGCATTTATTGGCAAATTCTATTCCATAATAGAAGTTCTCCACAAGTAATTTTCATTCTAATTGCATTGGAGTATGTACGAAATTTAAGTTTGCATTCAAATTTAAATTGCTGAATTCTGGTTTCTTAAATTTGGTACCAAAACAATGTGATCCCATTGTATCCATTTATTTGGTGTAAGAAAGGCCAAGAATTTTGAATTGTTGATTGGCATGAAAACAGTTGCTATTTTGCAACCATTTTGGTTGTCGGTTTATTTGGGAACGGATGCCAATAGAGATTTGTATCTTTTCAATTCAAAAACCATTAAATGGTGCCTATTTTCATCTATGGAAAATAAAGTGAATATGTATCTTGTTATTCAGTGTGATATAATGCTGTCTTGTGAAAGTGATAAATCGCAACATTGTAGATCAAGAAGCTTAGTCTTATTAGTTGTTGAATTTGACTATAATCGTGAAACCAATTGAATTTGGTTTAAGCTTGGAAAAGTATAGTCGGTCTATGAGATGACCTTGATCAAATTGTATGATAAAAAAATTAAAGTAGTAAGTTTGAAGCACATAGTGACCTAACGACTACTATTTGATAATATCTAAACTTTCACGAATATTTTCTAAGTGATAAGTGAATTGAACTATAAAAGAGTTAATAAACTCTCAGTTCAAGTATAATCCCAAAAGTGAGGGTTAACATATTGATGAACTCTACGTTCGAATATAACCCGAAGTGTGGTGGTTAACATTAAATGCTTGTGAATTTGCATGAGAAGTTCAAAAGACAGGGATGCAACATTTCTAGATTGCATATGTATTTCTAATTAAAGAATTGTGGGGGTAACTTATTTTAAAAGGTTACTATTACCTTCTAATCATAGAAAAATATCTATGAAAGAGAAAATATAGAAAATCCTTTATAAAGATAAATACACCAAGCCTAAGTGGATGAAATGGCTGATCATGGCGCTTGCAAAACCAATGGCAATATTTAAAGATCATTGAAATAAATCGATGATGTGAATCAAATACCCATATATGATATCCACTAGCAAAAGTGATTAACTAGTACAATGATTGATAGAAATCTTCCAACCATGTTTGGATATAAATAAAACTTTAAATAAAGCGAGTGAGACATAAAAGATTTTCTTGACGGTGACAAGTTGTATATATCGAATGAATCGATCGTTGACTAGCTATATTTGATAAGATACTTAAGTCACAAATAATAAAAGTCTAGACATATGAGTCTTAGACAAAACATTGCAAAGGAAATTATCAAAAATGAAATAATTTTCGTAGAGAATTTAGCGGATGCTTTAAACTAAAACCTATAAATAGAAATTTAGAGGCTTCTACTTTGAGTAGGATGAGTTAAAACTCCTAACCTAAAAAGGTCCACCAATGACGCGATCCTACTTGTCATTGCTCAAAAGGTAATCCATCGATTCAAAGGGTAACTTCAAGTCCTTTGATATGTGGATAGTTTCAACAATAAATAAATCCGCGATAATTAAAATAATGTTGGTTGTTACTAAAGTGAGGTTGAGTTTTAAACTCTTAATAAAGTTCAATGCAAAAAACAAAAGTACCTCTAAAAGTAACAAATGTGCTGAAAGAACTTCACCTAAACGAACTTCGAGGTGGTGCCCTTGATAGAAAGTTGGAGTTTTTCTCTTAAAAGTTTGTTGAAAATGATAAGCGCAATGTCATATTAGCACTAAGTGAGATTAAGGAACTTGAAAACACGTAATGCTCGTGTGTGTGTGTGTGTGTGTCCTTACCAGTATTGTCACATGGAATAACTGGCTCAAAACTTCACGCTCTTTGATTCCAACTTTATTTTGTTTGGATTACACTATGGTTAGATTCAAATCAAAAGATATAATCCTTAAGCATGAGTATTGTATATTTTGAATATGAGAGTTTATTGAATTTTGAACAAGTGGGGGATTGATAGAAAATGTTGTTCGATAAATCAATAAACACGAGTGTGGAAAGAAAGATGAGATGGGAGCCAATTCTTTGGCCTATGTGAAAGCTGTGCGGTCGATGGCCATTAACCGAAACATGGAAGCCGGGCTTTGTATAAACTATATTACCACATGGGAATATACCATGCGGTCGCATGGTAGTGTTGGAGGCGGTTTTTGATTCAAATTTGGCGGTCTTTCACTAATACTTTGGCACCACTTCGTATAGCAATGTTTCATGGCTATAAATAGGTGGTTAATGATCATTCTAACATTAAGAAAAACACTTGATGACATTTGTAATCATAATCTTCATTCCACAAAGAAGAATCAAAGTCTTCTCATCCATATTCAATATTCCTTTTGTGTTTTTCAAGTTTTGGAGAATTCATAGAAGTGTTTAAGTATTAATTCTCTACAAAGGATCAATCCTTCAAATCATTTGCCGTGAGATACTTTAAGCACCAAAATTTGTATTCAAGAGGGGGAAAATATCGTTTGAAAACAACGATGTAACGTCGTATTTGAGCCTTCATATTCATTATGATTTTCTTCTTACTTTTATCTTCTTGATTATTTTATATTTTGTTTCTTTTCCAAATCCCGGTGGTGAAAATTTCCAAACACTCTCTTCTCAGTTCCCCTCTCTCTCAGAAGAGTAAAAACAGATGAAGGATTGCAATAGCTACTTCTGCACAATTAGATGCTTGTGAAAGAATAATATAGGACACCAAAAGGTTTGCCACAAAGACGCCGAAAACTGCAACCTGCAGGCAGTCTCAGCATCATACATGAAGGGGATGAGGTATGACATATACAGAGAGAGAGAGAGAGAGAGAGAATCCCACAAGAAAGTGGTGCAAACGGAGTAAATTAGCTGATATAGCACCCGCTGGCCTGGAGTTCCAATGCCTCGGGAAACTCGTTGAGATAGATGACAGCACCTTTTCCGCTGCTCCTTACCAGGAGGGCAATCTTCTATTATGCCCTTCACGTCCCACAAGGCCCAGAAAGAGATGCGTTTTTCTCTCATTTTTCCTCACTGCAATTCTAAATGGTCACACTAACAGAACCTCAATTACTTTTGAGGAACTCGATGTTTTCTTTTCAGAAGCATTGGCTTGTGGAAGATGGATGCAAGAAAAATGATTATGCTTGACCATTTACTTAGCCTCCATTTGGCAAATTTATAAAAAAAAATGTGTATAATAATGAGCAATATTTATGAATGTCAGATTGAAATAGACTTTGACTGAATTTATAAACCATTTATAAATTTCTTTCCAAATGGAGGCTTAAAAGAACAGCAAGAAAAATTAGCAGCATCATATAAGAAGTAGAATTTACATAAACAAAGAGAAAACCAGAGGTGCGGTCAATATTCTGGCTACATAACTCAACAAAACCTGTAATCTGCAATCATATAGATACAAAAGAAAAAGTACAAGAAAACTAGCAAATATAAGTGAATTCAAGACCAAAATGGTGTCCATCTAATATATAACATTATGACATTCTTATATATCAGAACCTTCAAATGGCGGTTACTACCTCTGGCCAGCCATTGAGATGTCCTCTCAACTCAAGCAAAATGTCCCATCTGTGGGGTAAGCTTCTCTACATTCCACCAAGTTCTGCGTGCATCTAACGACTCACTAGGATCTCGCGTATCGTCTAAATCTCTTCTTTCTGAATGTACCTCCTGAGTTCCAGAACCGGGTGCCTCCACAAGAAACTGTTGCCAAAAGACATCATTAGGCCCAGCTGACACAGAGGGAACCGTTACATCTGGTTTTAGGTCTTTTGAAATATCAATATCATGAACATTAGTTGGGCTCATATTCACATCAATTCCCGACGGTGCAATGCAAATGGATGATATTGCAAGGCTGTCAACACAAGTAGAACATGCAGCCAGCTCGGGGGAAGAATGAAGATCTCTCGAAGGAGACGAGGTTATATGACACTTAGGCGAGCAAGTTTGGCAAATTAAATCCGAGTCTCCAGATGATACAGGCATTTCTGTAATAGTGACTGGTGAAGGCTGGGGGAGCACACTGAAATCATGAAAATCTTCAGATGGAATTTGATTGATCTCATGGACAAACTTCTCCCAAAAATTTAGGGAGGAATCCAACTGGTCAACTAATTCTGAGTTCAATGATGGAAGAGATGAAGTACTTGGATTCTCTGCTTGGAAAGTCATGATTTGGCTATCTCCTCGGTTGGCTTCATCGTGCAAATAATTCAAAGCCAATAACCTTCTCTTTTTGTTATTCGACTCCAAATGCTCCATGAGATTAGAGACATATCTAGGTTTTTGCAACAACTGAGCCAAGGTTGTCATTAACTGCCGCTGCCTGTGATCAATATTTTGCAACTTTTGCCCTAATGATCTAATTTCATATTCATACCCCCGATTCTCCTGTGCACGCCTCTCAACCTCCGACTCAAGCAAAACCTTTTCGTGTTTTAGCTTGTCAATCTCCTTTTCAAGCTCCTCTCTTTCTACATCAGTTAATGGAACTGCATTCCCCTGACCCGAATGGCTATGTATTGGCTTGCGCCTGTGTATATTCTTTAAAAGATGTCTCTGTCCACGAATAAATTCTTCATTTGCAAACTCCCATTGATCAGGATCAACCTTTCGAAAACCCTACACACGGTAAGGAAATTTAAGCAAAATGATCTCACAAGAACCAAGTTAAGACTTAAATTTAGACTACAAAGCAAAAATAAATATGAAGTGAACAAAATGCTAATCCACCATATCTTTCATCTCTATTCATTATCCATGACATTATAAATAGTTACACATACTGATACTTCAACTATGTATTCTAACCTCGACTACATTAGTTAACAAAATCAATCCTGCACCATTAATTTTTGTTCAATATTCATGGTTTGCCAATTCAAAATC